TCGATGTTGGCATAACTCGTATGCTGGAATCGATGGATGCATGAGGAAAATGGCCTCTTCTCGAGCTCTGTATGGAAATCAGGAAGAAAGGAAGGCTCACCTGAGCTGGAGGGTTATGGCCAGAAAGATAACGTTCATCGAGATGACCTCGCGACGTCACTTTCTTTGCCCGCTTCCACGGCAAGTCAAGCCTCACCGTGGCGCGATCCATAACTTTCAAAAGCTCATCATACGCAGGGCAGGAGGATTGGGAAGGCTCAGCCTCAGCTTCTTTGCCCTCCTCAGACATTTCCTGCTCTTCCTGGGCTGAACTCAGCAGAGCACTGGCTCCTGGATCAGACGATGTTAATGAAAGATCCACCTGCGATCCCCACGAGCTCTTTCTCCTCCGTGCCTCAGCAGCGGCGGGCCCTGAATCGCAGGAAGCAGATGGCTGCCCCTCTTTCCTCGAAAAGAAAGACAAACGCTCGCAGTGCACGCCGATTGCCCCCTCGGGGACATCGCGTGCGTGCTCTTCGCCCAAACAAACAACGCATAGATCGTGTGTGTCATCAGATGTTAAATAACGATGACACGAATGCACACATCCTCTAAACGCTTTGCTAGTGCTTGCCATAATGATATGAATAGAGATCCCTTGAAAGGGAACCATAGTTTCATTTAAGATTTATGGTGGCATTCAAGTGTGTTTGTATATTTAAAAATATTTTTGTTCACTTCTTAAAGTTCATGCAAGTAGGCCAATTCCATACAAGAGCTTAAGAGCATTAAGACATTTGTTAGCAGTTGGATATCAGATATTTTGATGGTGTCTGTGATTTAGAAGAAAATGCAAATAAAGTTGTGAAGTTCTATTCATTTCTACAAATTAGATTCATTTTAATTGCGTTTCAGTTAATCAGTTCAAAACACTGATTCAGTGATTTATTTGCATCACAATAATCCAGAAATGGTATTCTGTTTTAGTAAAATATATTTAAAGATAAACATGGCTGTATTATACACATTTGTAAAAATAAAATAAATAACATAACAGTCTTCAAAATGATTGATCATTCTTCATTTGTAAGAATGATTAGAATGATGGTTCCTCTGAGGGAAAAAAATCATTGCAAATGCATAAATATTGAAAATCAGACTGCTGAAAAATATTAATTTAAATGTAAATATGACAAATTTGGATATTTTAACTACAATTCCAGCCTTAGATTTTAGGAATTAACCTCCTTGGTTGAAAATATTTCACTAACCCACTGACCGCAAAAAGAAGCTGCATTAGTGCAAAAGTTTCTAACACTGGTACTTTTACACTGAGATCCATTCAGTTGTCATAGCTGTGCAAGCTACGTCAACCTCTCTCGGGCTTTAGTCTCTTTGCTGGCTTTGTTAAGAAGTGATTAAAGATGTCAGCTGCCAGGTTGAAGGGTTGTTTTCTTCTGAAGTCTCAGTAGGGAGTGTTTTGAAGCTGCTGTGGAGTGCCAGACTTTAAATCAGAGCTGCCGGGTCACAGGAGGACGCTGGTTAGACTGTGCTGACGGTGGCTTGGCATCGCTCTTGTGGTTCTGCTCAGTTCTTCTACCATTAATTTACTCAACTCTGTTTAAAGATTACTGGAGTAGATCATAGAGCAGGCATGCAGGGTCAAAACCCTCATCAACATCACGATGGTTGCCAGTTATGAATGGAAACATATAAACAATGGCTGTATGCTATTTACATGAATCAGGCTCACACAGAACAAGCCTTTTTTACAGTTTTGGTCTGTAAAATGGAGCCTCTAAAAATGTCGCTAGAAATGAATGACTTGTCTGTAAAACTTTAGGCTGTTTTTGTGTGAATAATGGCAGCATATTATTTTCCTGGCACTTTTATTGCAAACCACCACTGGATCTCTCATACGTCAGCTCCTAATAATGCTCTTGCGCTTCTCAATCTAAAATTGAGTGTGGCATTTTGTTAAATTTAGAATTGCAATCATTATTAGCCATGCCCGTTTTGGTGTGGGAAGTGTCACATCAATAAATTAGCTTTTGAAATGCTTAATAAGACCATGAAATGCCTCATGCTCCATCAGCCTGGCCTTTATGTCGCACACAAAGACAGTCACAAAGTTTTCATTTAACATTAGAAACATGATTGTTTGTTTTGTGTTCATGTTAATTTCATATGGTTTTGATTGAAGTACAATTAATGACTCTAAAAATGTCATCTGGTGTAACCATGAAGCAAAATATTTAAACTTGGAATACTTAATCATTGTTTATTTTAATCATTATTTTACAAAATGTTATTCAATATATTTTTCAAGATAATAAATGTTTATGCAAATATAATTAATTATTAGTTCATAAATATTATTGTTTTTTGGGAGTTGCACCACAATACATTTTATAATCTGAACTGTCCTAAAATGTCAAATAATGTGATATTTTGAGACTGATCTTGACACATGACACTGTCTTTTTAATATGTAATTTTTTAATATATATATATATATATATATATATAAAATGCATGCTGGGTGGACCACATGACTTTGTTGGTTGCACCAAAAGTTTTTTTTTTAATCCACAAATATTAATAAACACTTTTATTAGGGAAAAAATATATATTTTCATATTTTATTTTATTTTATTTTTAATCCTAAAATGTTACTAGAATATTTTTAAAGATAAATCCTAAAAGGTCAAATGATCTGATATTTGAGATATATACTTTTTTTGTTCCATCCATCCATTCATCCCCATTTCTGCTTGTTGGGTGGACAAGTTGACTTTGGTCTCACCAAAGTCATATTTAATAAGAAATTTTACTGGAAAAAGTGATTTATATCACTTAATAATAATTATAAAATATTACATCAAACTACTTTAAGATTTCTTAAATGTAATTTTAATAAGGATTGTTTTCACTATGAGGACAGTTGTCACCTTTACATTTGGACTTTATGCCCCCCAAAATATCAAAATAAGTTTTAATACATAATCTAAATATGTGACCCTGGACCACAAAACTAGTCTTAAGTCTTAAATATAAACTAGTCTTATATTTTAGCAATATCCCCAAAAACATTGTATGGGTCAAAATTATCGATTTTTCTTTTATGCTAAAAATCATTAGGATATTAAGTAAAGATCATGTTCCATGAAGATAGTTTGTAAATTTCCTACCGTAAATATATCAAAACTTCATTTTTGATTAGTAATATGCACTGCTAAGAACTTTATTTGGACAACTTTAAAGGCGATTTTCTCATTATTTTGATTTTTTGCACTCTCAGATTCCAGATTTTCAAATAGTTGTATCTCGACCAAATAATGTCCCATCCAAACAAACCATACATCAATGGAAAGCTTATTTATTCATCTTTCAGATTATGTAAACATCTCAATTTCGAGAAATGAACCCTTATGACTGGTTTTGTGGTCCAGGGTCACATATATGATCATCATAGAAAATGTTTACTGGAGTCATTGTACAATATGTGTGAGCTGCATTAGAACAGTCAAACTGCATAGAAATCATTGTGTTCTATGGAAGAAAGTAAGTCAAATTAATTATTTAACATTGAAAAAAAATCTCCCATTTCTCCTTGAAAGAGATCTCTTTTGTAATATTCTTAGTTTTTCTTTCTTCTTGCAGGTGTTATTTTTGTTTAGTCTATTGAGGATGTGTTTTCGTCTCTCTGCCGTCTTGTGAACAGAGCAAATTGAACAGCAGCCAGATGTACTGGCCAGTTGAATCCACCTGCCCTGCCCTCCAGCTGTGGCTCTGAGCTGTGATTGGTTGAGCTGATTGCCTGGCCACATGCAGGGTGGGGTTCATTACCCTGCAGAGCTCTAGTGAGAGAAATAGAGGTAGAGTGGGGTTTGTAACTGTGCACCTTATAGACGACGGCTCCCACACCCCCCTCAGACCCACACTGCAGCAGAAAGACTATTTTTAGCTCCTCTTTCATGAGAAGGAATGATGCTGGGACTTGATTTTGATGCTCTGCAACTAAAAGCCCATGTTGCTTATATTTGCTCCTTTGGTACGTGTAGTCTTATGTAACAGAAAACCTTTAATTTCGCAACCCTACATTTCAAACCAGAATATCTAAAGAATGCATCGGGACAATTTAGTGAATATTTAAAGGTAAATTATGTATTTTTTAGGGTTTAAATATTTAAATATGCAGAGACAACTGAACTGATTCAAAAGTTAATGAGTCTTTTTAAATGATTCATTACAAGAATAGGCTCATACAATAAGAGTCATTTTTTTAGGAAAATATAATAGAAAGATGATGGATGGATGGATGGATGGATGGTGGGTTAGATCGTTGGATGCATAGATAAATGGATTGACAGTTGGGATGGATGGATGGATAGAAAAATGGATAGATGGATGGATGATAGATGGATAGATAGTTGGATGGATGAATTGATGGATGGATGGATATATTAAAAAACATGCAGTTGAGTAAGTGAGACTGATTTAGTTTGAATTTATAATTGATGGAGGTTTTTCAATGAAGGACTGATTCAGAAGTTCATGAGTCTTTTTGAACAATTTATTACAAAAATAGGCATATAAGAGACATTTGCTAAGACAACAAAGTTATTTGCCTTATTTTGCCATCTTGCTATATTTTGTGGTTGGTTGCATTTTTGTCTCTTTAGAATCAGTTCAGTCTACAAACTCACATTTATAGACTTTGACTTTAATATATTTATATTCTGTCAGCTGCTTTTCTCATTTAGCATACATTTTTATGTTGCATAAGCTTTCTGGTAGCATTTTCATCCAAGTTAGCGCAGACACGTACATTCGCTCACACACACCCACTTTGCTTTGCTGATTATCTATTACCTCTGTAAGGACAAGGACTGCATAACACTGCTGCATTAACGTTACTCTATATGTGTGTGTGTGTGTGTGTGTGTGTGATGATCCATTAGTATTTCAGCACGTTATGCTGCTTCAAACTGTACTGACATTGCTCCCTTCTCCTCCAGGTGGACAGACTGGCCGGCACAATGAAGGAGGAGAACTTGTTCCGCAGACGGTTCTCTCTCTGTCCCACAGCCACCTCGCCTCCCAAGATCGACTCGCGTGTGCTGACCCGCAACCTGTCCTATGGAGGAGACAATGAACTGTACCCGCTCAGCCCAGGTATCCATTCAATTACTGAATGTGTGGAAGCACCACATCCTTCAAGCACAAGAGACACATGCAGGAGCTCACTGCTTCACTATGGTCATAGAAAATAGTTAAAGTGTTAAAGAATTAAAGCAAGATTATCATTGTCATGAAACCGTATTCATAGTGGGTTTAGCTTATCAATTTAATGTATTTCAGAGTGAAACTGAGTAATTAGGAGAAATAATACAGGGCAGTACTGACTTAATTATGAATTTGATTGGCGACTGTTGGCAATTACCAAGAATGCCACAGCAACCATTTTGCTGTACCCTGGCAACCAACTAGAACACCTTAGGAACTGCATAGCAAGTTGCTACAAACCTCTCAAAACACCTTAGCAACCACATAGCAATGTCCTGGAAACCACCTAAAACACCTGATAGATACAGTATGCACTAAAAACACCCAAGCCATATAGCAACACCCTGGCAACCACCTAGAAGACATGAACATTGCATAGCAATGCCCTAACAGTGACTAAGAACACCTTAGTTGCATAGCAACACCCTAGTAATGACCTAGAACACTCAAGGAAATGCATAGAAACATGCTAGAAGTGTCTCAGAACACCTCAGTAACCACATAGCAACGCCCTGGCAACCATTTAAAACACTCAAGAAACTGTATAGAAATGTGTTTTAAATCTCTCAGAACACCTTAGCAACTGCATATCAATGCCCTGGCAACCACCTAGAACACTTAAAACTGCATAGAAACCTGCTAGAAATCTTTCAGAACACCTTAGTAACCACATAGCAATGCCCTGGCAACCACCTAGAAGACACGAACATTGCTTAGACCAATGACTAAGAACACCTTATTTGCATGGCAACACCCTAGTAACCACCTAGAACACCCTAGCAACCACATAAACAAATCCGATAGAAACAATTCTGCATAATAAAGGATGTTTATTAAGAAATAAAAATGTGAAAAAAATCATTTCAACTTCAGATGAGCTGACTATGTTTTAAAATATTTTATAATAATCATCAAAGATATGATTGACTGTGGTGATTGATGTTAACGCTGTGTTTGTGTGCTGGTGTGGGTGTGTGTGCGCGCGCGTGCTCGTGTGTGTGTTCTGCAGGGAATGAATCGGAGAGGAACGGTTTGCCCTTACTGAGGGACGAGGTCAGCCCGGTCCGCTCACCCAGCAGCGCGGTGCGTTCAGCCTCCTGGTGACTGCACGCATGAAATATGACAGCATTATAATGCAGACGGGAAAGAAAACAGCCATAACAAATCTGTTACTTCAGCTACCAGCCCTAACTAACGCTACTAGTTAACCTCTCACTAGAGTGTGTGTTTTTTTTTCGGAATGCTGCTAAATAAAAAAAGATTAAAGGATTCGCTAGAGCTCTGCCAATGTAGAGGAAGTGAAATGACCTGCAATTAGCGCATGTCAAAACTCAGCCAATCACAGCCTCCCGTCTGCATTTCACTCACCAGACAGTTTTCTGTGTGCTAAAAGCTTTTAATAAGTCGGAGCTCACATCTCAGGCACATGTAAAGTGCATCTGTCCGTATCATGTGGTTTTAATGGGTGAATATACAGTAAAAGCCTGTCATTCATTCACCATATGAGACATTAAACTGTAATACACAAAGATCTAATGCAGCAGGAATGTGTGTCGTCTGCGTAAACCTGAAAAAGAAGCTTTTAGCATCAGCTGCAATTAACAACTATTATACTAATTGATCGGTCTGTAATTTAATTGATTTAAATATAAATTTATTTGGATATTCTGATAATATTTAGATTGTTCTGTTCTTACTCGTACTCACCTTCAAACAATGTGCATATTTATTTATATATATATTATATATAATAGAGATAATAATAGTATTTATTTGTTTGTTTGTTTATTGATTTATCAGTATTGTTATTTGTCTATTGAAATTGCTGTGTGTATATATATATATATATGATGTCAGTAGTTTATAGAATAAAACATTGTTATATATATATACGTAAATAAAATATATTTATATATATATATATATATATATGTACATATATAAAATGTGTCTACAATTAATTTGTCTATAAAGTGACTTGAGTGACATTTTCACATTTAAATAACTCGACAAAATATATTACATGATGTTTAACAATGACATTTAATTGTATTTGCTAAATGAAATGATGCTAACATTGTATAAAAATATAGTAAAAAAAAGAATTTGTTTGATAGAAATGCATTTTTCATTATTTTAATATGGCAACAGCAGTGTAGGTTTTTTTTCTGTACCTACATCAAAGACCCTGATAAATGATCATGAAATTTAAAGACGATGATCTCCATTATCGATTTTATTGATTGTTTGTTTCAGCGAAATAGCGTTATTGTTGTTTTTCTGGACTCCACTGTTTGTATGAACTGCTTTAGAGGTTAATTTGGGTCTAAGAGGAAAACTGTCTTCTCCATATTTAGGTCTGATCTTCAACTGACACCCACAGCTGACCAAACAGACCTGCTGCATTTAGCCTGCTGCCTTTTGCTCGTAGTGTGAAAGAGTTGTCGCTCTATAACAAAGCTACCTTTGTTTATTTCCCAATTACTATAATAATATAGTTATACTAACATCATATAATTATAATTATTATGGTAGGACTTTCATCATTTCAAACCATTTGACGTAACATGAAACAGGATATTGTGAAATGTCATATTTAGCCCAGGATCAAGTATTATGAAAGCAAACAAGGTCAATTGTGATCTCATGTTGACTTCAAATGAAAGTTAAATGGATTTTTCTTTTTTGGCTTCAGTCGGAATCCAGGATGTTTATCGGTTTGGAGAAGGAGTCTTCCTCGCCCACGGAGAAGCTGGCAAGGAAAGAATCGCTTAAGGTACAATGTGCTTCCCACTCCAGGCAGGGTTCCTGACCCAGTTCTCCAAACAGCAGCTTGTTCGTGGTGTCAGTCAACAGGTGGACGGCACTGAACCTGCGTACAGGCATTTCCTGTACTAGAGAAAATACTCTGAAATATTTATTCAGATATTTAATCCAGCTATTCATCTGGAGTATTTTTCTTCTTACTTTGAACAGCTACAAATTTTATCTAACCAATTTGCATGCATGAAAGGTCTGTGGCTAATAGTGTTCTGTGTCATTTTTGGACTGATGTATGGCTTCTTACAACTAGTGGTTAAATTTGCAAAATTCAAAACGTTATCCCCGCTTTCTTGTTTGTGCTAGAGAATTAAATTTACACAGAAATGTCCCACTCTTCATGGGAAACACATTTATTTCAGGGACCCATATGTTCTTTCATAAAAATGTTTTATTTTATTTTATTTTTTAGTTACAACTAGGGCGGAGCTAAGGTAAGACGCCAGTCCAGTCTGTGCTGAAACGCTACTGTCAATCAAACTATCGTGGGAGGGGCCTGTTTTTGTGACGTCACACAGACAGGCATCTGAGATCGGCTCGATTTGAGAAAGGGGTAAAAATTTTAGTAGATTAACAAAAAACCACTGGGTGGATTTTTTTTATTTTAGGGTGGTTGTGTAGGCGGTTGTGCCAACACACATTTCAGTTCAAACAACTTGTAAAAGTGCATGTAGCATTATATGACCTCTTTAAAAACTGAATGTAATGAACCACTCATTTAGTGTTGCAACAAAACTATTAAAAATAGTTTGTTTTCGTTAGTTGAAATTAAATAAATTATAAATATTAATGAAAAACTTAAATTTTTTTTTCATTTCTGTTAGAATTTCTATTTAATTTCTAATTTCTCATTTTCATTTAAGTTCTGAATTTATAGAAGTACTAAAATGGCTAATGCTGAAACTGAAATGAAAATAAATAAAGCTACATTTATAAAAGGTAAAACTATAAAAATGACATAAGCATGTAACAAAAGTACAAAAAATAAATAAAACTGAAATTAGAACTGAAAATATAAAAAGTTAAAAAATTTAAAATAATAATAAATACTATAATTACTATGCATAATTATTTATAAATGTAAATATAGTTTCTAAATGCGAAATTTAAACCGGTTTGGATTGTTGTGAATCCAACTTTAGATGAGTGATGTTTGCATTGTCCAGTCAGAGTTCTTCTCCACAAACTAAAATAAAATCGTTAAAGTTTAGATTTAACAGTGGTGAATAAGTTCTTTGGCATTGTATATGGTGCACTCTAGTGTTCAACAAGGTTTTAAGACATTTTCCGTCTTGCTGCCCACTTGCGCCCCCTAGCTAATATTCGAGCAATGCATTAAACCTTGACCTTTCATATGGTAGGTTCAGAAGAAGAACTATCGACAGGAGAAGAAGAGGGTCGCCAAAGAACTGTTCAGTGCACTTAAGGATCCAAGTGTGGTTATTATGTCCAACTGGCTAAAGGTTGGTAAACCTCATCGGTTTTCATTTTAACATTGAATTATTTGGCAGTTGCTTTAAGATGCACTTGTTGGGTGCATCAGATTCGGGGGACGTTGAAGAGTTGGACGAAATTGTGGTGCGTCCTAAAGCCCGGCATTCTCCTGATATACAAGACACCTGGTTCAGACCACTGGGTGGGAACGATTCTTCTCAACGCCTGCAAACTCATCGAAAGACCCTCAAAGAAGGACGGATTCTGCTTCAAACTCTACCATCCGCTGGACAAGTCCATATGGGCCATGAAGGTTAGACACAAGCTTCTCTGAAATGCGACGTTTGGCTTGAACTCATCGTTGGGATTGATTGGTCTCTGTGTTTTTTCAGGGTCCTAAAGGGGAATCTGTGGGCTCCATCACTCAACCCTTGCCTAGTAATTACCTGATCTTCAGAGCAGCGTCTGAATCTGATGGTGAGCATTGACATTTGTCTTCTGTAAAACTGTCTTCTCGGTATGGAGTCCATTTGAGGATCACAGCCTGTGGTTTGCTCCAGGACGCTGTTGGATGGACGCTCTGGAGCTGGCGCTCAGCTGCTCCAGCCTGTCGAAGATGACCGCGAAGAGCGGCAGGGATGGAGATCAGAGCGGCTCCTCCGAGTCCTCACACATACTGCAGCTGCTGCAGAGCTCGGCTCTCATTGACCAGGACCTGCTTCCGTGAGTCTGATCTCTCTACATCAACACACCGCTAAGCATGTTCACATCAGATACAATGCAGTTAAATTACATATTTGTACACGTTTTCTGACATCAAAATTGTTTGCATTAACTAAACTGTTCACCACAGATCAGATTAGGTGTGACTAAATGATATGAAAGTGTGGTAACACTTTAGTATAGGGACCCATTCTCACTATTAACTAGGTGCTTATTAGCATGCCTATTATTAACATATTGGATGATTATTAGTACTTATAAAGAACATATTCTGCATGACCATATTCTACATCTCTAATCTTACCCAATACCTAAACAACTACCTTACTAACTATTAATAAGCAGCAAATTAGTAGTTTATTGAGGCAAAAATTGTTGTTAATGGTTAGTTAATAGCGAGAATTTGACCTTAAAATAAAATGTGACTGAAAGTATAAATTATAGTGTAGAACAGTATTTGGTACCAAACATATTTGTGTGTAATACAACATGACTGGCTATTCTCAAACGTTTTTGGCCAATTTTTTTTAAATTGTTTAAATAGAAATCAAAGGAAAATACTTTTATATAATTTTTTTTTTAAATACTGCTATACTGTATACTAAAAAAAAATACATCCAATTAAAATAACTGATTATGGCTAAATTATAAAAATTCTGAAATTCATCAAAATGGCATCAAAATTATTTACATCAGGTATTATACCATTAAATAATATGAACTTATGACTGGCACTGTAACTATTTGCATTAACTACTATATGATTAAACTGACACTAAAGTAATAAAATATTCACAGAAATCATTTGGTAAGAAACAGTTCACATTCAAATCTGTGCAATGAATTTACATGAAGTATAACTTATACAGATTTTTTGGGGAATAGTTTTTGGTATCAAAAATATTTGTGTAAACAATATGACTTTATTGTGTGAATTAAAAGTGTGAAATTTTCAAAGAATTATTGGTCAAATGTTTGTTGTTCTCTGAAAAATAAAAGAGCATTTAAGAAAATTATGTATCCTCCAAAAACTACAAAACTATTCACATCAGGTGTATAGACGTATACATTTTTTTTTGGATAATAGTTTTTAGTACCCCAAATATTTGCACAAACTACAGTATGACTAAATTAAAAGTGTGAAATATTCTCAGACACTATTTTCATAAAAGAGAGAGAGAGAGAAAGAGAGAGAGCGCTTTTAAAAAACAATGAACCATCCAAAAACTGGATAAAAATAGCTTAGCACAAAACTATTTGCATTAAGTACTATATGACTAATTGAACAGAAAAGTAGTAAAATATTCAAAGTTTTTTTTTTTTTTTCAAAACTGTTCACATCAAATACAGTGCGACATTAAAATATAAATTCAGATAACAGATTTGTGGTACCAAAACTATTTGTGTAAACTAAGATATGACTAAATTGAGACAAATTTTTTGTTAAGCCCCGTTCACACCAAGAATGATAACTATAAAGATAACTATAAAGAAAGATATTATCGTACACACCAGCGGACGATATCATCGGTTTATTCGAAGCGTACGCTCATCTGTCGCTTTAAATGCTCCAGCTCGTTACAGCAGGATGGTTTCTGATTGGGTGTCAATGTTTTTATCGTTCATCAGCTGGAAAACATTGTTCTGAACCATATCGTTTCTCTGTGCCTTTATCGTTATAGCTGTTGTGTGAACTCTGCTATTCTTTAATATTGAGAACGATATTTAGAACTATATCATTATCTTTATAGTTATCGTCCTTGGTGTGAACGTGTCTTTATTCTCTTAAAAAAGCATTTACAAGAATAATATAGCCTCGAAATAAGCAATAAAATGAAAAACAATTATTGTAGTACAATATTTTGGATTTGTGAAGGAGTTCATATAGCTTCCCATGTATGTTGCTGCCATTGGATCCCAATTTCCAGAGCCTTGGTGATTATGTTGGATAACTGGGCTTGAATCTACCTCGCATCGTGTCCAGATCCAAGCTTTTGTATATTTTCAACCAATATTATAGTGAGCCACCTTCAGAGTGTGTTACCGTAAAAATGACATATTACTGCTCTTACGAGACCTTTAATGCATTAAATGGGTGCTTAATGACTTGACGGACATTAAACAGCACCCCCAAAATCAGTATTTGTGTAAACAATATGACTTTATTGTGTGAATTAAAAGTGTGAAATTTTCAAAGAATTATTGGTCAAATGTTTGTTGTTCTCTGAAAAATAAAAGAGCATTTAAGAAAATTATGTATCCTCCAAAAACTACAAAACTATTCACATCAGGTGTATAGACGTATACATTTTTTTTTGGATAATAGTTTTTAGTACCCCAAATATTTGCACAAACTACAGTATGACTAAATTAAAAGTGTGAAATATTCTCAGACACTATTTTCATAAAAGAGAGAGAGAGAGAAAGAGAGAGAGCGCTTTTAAAAAACAATGAACCATCCAAAAACTGGATAAAAATAGCTTAGCACAAAACTATTTGCATTAAGTACTATATGACTAATTGAACAGAAAAGTAGTAAAATATTCAAAGTTTTTTTTTTTTTTTCAAAACTGTTCACATCAAATACAGTGCGACATTAAAATATAAATTCAGATAACAGATTTGTGGTACCAAAACTATTTGTGTAAACTAAGATATGACTAAATTGAGACAAATTTTTTGTTAAGCCCCGTTCACACCAAGAATGATAACTATAAAGATAACTATAAAGAAAGATATTATCGTACACACCAGCGGACGATATCATCGGTTTATTCGAAGCGTACGCTCATCTGTCGCTTTAAATGCTCCAGCTCGTTACAGCAGGATGGTTTCTGATTGGGTGTCAATGTTTTTATCGTTCATCAGCTGGAAAACATTGTTCTGAACCATATCGTTTCTCTGTGCCTTTATCGTTATAGCTGTTGTGTGAACTCTGCTATTCTTTAATATTGAGAATGATATTTAGAACTATATCATTATCTTTATAGTTATCGTCCTTGGTGTGAACGTGTCTTTATTCTCTTAAAAAAGCATTTACAAGAATAGTATAGCCTCGAAATAAGCAATAAAATGAAAAACAATTATTGTAGTACAATATTTTGGATTTGTGAAGGAGTTCATATAGCTTCCCATGTATGTTGCTGCCATTGGATCCCAATTTCCAGAGCCTTGGTGATTATGTTGGATAACTGGGCTTGAATCTACCTCGCATCGTGTCCAGATCCAAGCTTTTGTATATTTTCAACCAATATTATAGTGAGCCACCTTCAGAGTGTGTTACCGTAAAAATGACATATTACTGCTCTTACGAGACCTTTAATGCATTAAATGGGTGCTTAATGACTTGACGGACATTAAACAGCACCCCCAAAATCAGTATTAAAGGCTTTATTGCCTCTCTACATGCACAAAATTATAAACTCAATTTGTACACCTGGTTACAGTAAATACTGTTTCACCTCTTTAGCAAAACTGCATGTCTGCTAAAACATCTAAGGCAGAAGTTGTAAACTCTTGTTTGTTTTTGATAAGCTGACAACAATGGCACTATGCTTTAATTTTTCTAGTTTATGTTGTTTTTTCTGATATTGGTTTTTAGCATGTTGCTATTCAGTGGCTTGACAATCCCCTAAAAAACACAGTTTTTCATTATTATTATTGCATCTTATTGTGTTAATGTAATATAAATGCTAAATACTTAAATACAAAAAAAAAAAATCAATAAATATATTTAGTAATTAGAAAAACTATAGTGCTAATACTGTGAGACCTACAATATCATCAATCAAAATCAACAGCTAAAATCACAAGCGTATAGCCATGACATCAAATTGTGATTAATCGCCAAACATTAAAAACAAATCTACATTATAATCAAATAATATTCCAATGAGATTCAAAGTGTATTTCAATTTTACACTGTACCTGAGAGGAAGTGAAATAGTAGATGTTGTTTGCCAGTGATATCCTTCGGCTGTCAATCATTTATATATCCCAAACCCCGCCTCTGTCTAGCCACTTTGAAGCTCTTGTCCAATCAGCTGCGCCCTATAGGTTTACGTGACAGGCAGAGGAGCAGGAAGAGATGAGGAGAATGTAAACCCAACAATACAATCAGCACAAACACACACACACACACACACACACGTACAAGCGCATCAGACAAGCTGTGAAGCAGGAAAAACAGCTTTGGAAAACACGTTACTGCAGAGCTTTCCTGTGCAAACACCAATCCAGACAGGAACTATTGAGGGAAATCATGGTGTTTCAACTGTAAACAAAGACTTTTTCTGAGGTTCTCTCATTTTTTGTTTACCAATCTTTGGAGTTTCAGGAATAATATATTCTTGGCAAGGTAAGGACTCGTTTTTTTTGCTTGGCTCGCTGGTCGTTCTTGCTGACAGCTGGTGACGCAGGACAGAAGCTGTTTTTTTTCCTGTTATCTCTGTGTGTCGTGGACACAAAGAGATGGTTTAATGTCATGCTCATGCTCAGATTATTAATCCAAGACTCTTTTACCAGCCAAAGGATTCATATTTCTCTGTAGAGATTCGTTGCCTATAGCAGAATATATTTTGAAAATAATGTTCACGCTGATGAAATGAACATCTTGTGACCATGGTGACGGCCCTGTAATTCAAATTACTCGCGAAGATGATCATCATGTGGTTTGTTGCTTTGGCAACTGATCTGGATGGACTTTGAACGTGAACATAATAATAAATCTCACTGAGATAAAGGAGAACGAACGATTAATGTTAAAGAAAATCTTCTTCTTTTTTTTTTTTACAACTAAAGAATAAATAATAAAAATGAAAATAATTGCAGAAAATGCAGCTGAATCAAATCTCACATGGTCATTTGTTTGTGTGTGATTTTGTTAAAGTTTGAATGACTCCATGTTGGAAAACCATATGGAGAACGATGCCAACTCGGACAAATCAGAGAGGGAGGCGCATGAAGACTCAGACAATGGGGCCAATGAGAACGGAGGCAGACTGACGGAGGAGAGCGATATGGACCAATCGGATGACGTGTGCCTGCAGGCCACGGTGTTTGTTGAAGAAGCCCATGAAGAGATGGGAGAGGTGATCAGTTCATCACAGTCTCTGTTTGGTCTGAATGAACTGCTTTGTCTACGCAGAACTAGTTAATTATGTTTCGGTTACACAGTGACGTGTTAAAAAGGGTCATGTCGATGAAGACATGCTAAAACAAAGAGAAAATTTGTGTTAATCGATTGAAATGTTTACTGAGTGATATTTTTCGGCTTAAAATGTATTAAACCTAAAGAAATTAACAGGATTTATGAGTCGGCATGAAACAATACAACAATTTGATGATGGAATTTTATTCAGCAAAAATTTAGTGGGTCATGAAAAAATGGGTGTAAATTATTGTCTGATTGAAAATTTTTGAGAAAAATTATTTGCATAAATTGCAATATGACTAAATTAAAAGCATGAAATATTGGTCAAATTTTTGTTGTTCTGTAAAAAATAACAATTGAGCATTCATAAAACATAAAACCATTCATATCATTTACTATGCGTCTAAATGATTTGAACGCATGAATTACTTGCAAACAATTTCTGTCACAAAAACATCTCGGTTACGAACATAACCCTCATTCCCGGATGGAGGGAACGGAGACGTTATGTCGTGACGAAATAGGGGGTTTACTTGAGAGCCCCAATCCGCTCTGACTTTCAGAGAAAATAACAATGAATTTTGGCTAGTGGATTATACATACCTGAGCCACCCGTGCATACAGGTCGATGGTTCAAGGTTGTGGCGTTCTCTCCATCAGGGAACGAAGGTTACGTACGTAACCGAGACATTCCCTATCTGTCGGTCATTACGAGTTATGTCGTGACGACATAGGGGGTCCATGGAAAGCGCCACAACCTGAACCCCATTACAACCCTGTAGCGCTGCAAATATTGACAAGCAGCCGTGTGTCAGACAAATGCTACGCGAGGGTTGTAACCTTCCCAATGCCCCAGCGCAAATTCGTTGACCTTGGCACCTGCAGGAACCAAAGGTGAGTACATCGCTGCTGGAGATAGCCAAGCCGCTGTTCCTACCACAGAAAATCTTTTCTTAAGAGAAGGGATTTTGACCTTCGTGAAAGGTGCTTCACGCCTTTCCCTGTTTGTTATTTACAGTTTGGCAGTAACGATGGGGAAGCGAGCTTTCCGGAGAAGGGCACTATGGAGACCACATCCTGCCCATAGGGCGGTATCATGTGGAGACACTGATATGGACTGACCCAGGCCTGGGGCAGTACTACATATGGAATGGGTCTCTGGAGTAGGGAGGAACGGCTCAACGCAGAGTCTGTAAAATCTTGCGAAGGTGTTTGGTGTTGCCCAGCCCGTAGCTCTACAGATGTCTGCCAAAGAGGCGCCGTGCGCCAGCGCATAGGACGAGGCAACACTCCGTGTGGAGTGAGCCCTCACCCCCAGAGGGCACGGCTCGCCTTGGGATTGGTGGGCCAAGGCGATGGCATCCACGATCCAGTGGGCTAACCTCTGCTTGGAAACAGCCTTCCCTTTCTGCTGACCTCCGTAGCAGACAAAGAGCTGCTCAGAGCTTCTGAAGCTCCGGGTGTGGTCCACGTATATGCGCAACGCTCTTTCGAGACACCAAGGCTGGATCTGCCTCCTCCGAGGGCAGTGCTTGCAGGTTCACCACCTGATCAAGGAAGGGCATGGTGGGAACCTTGGGCACGTATCCAGGCTGTGGTTTTAAGACAACGTGAAAGTAGGCCGGCCCGAACACAAGGCACTCTTCGCTCACTGAAAATGCTTGGAGGTCCCCGACCCTCTTGATGGAAGTGAGAGCGGTCAGGAGCGCTGTCTTAGCAGACAGGAACTTAAGCTCAACTGAGTCCAGCGGCTCAATGGGATCCCTCTTAAGGCCAGCCAGGACAGTAGAGAGATCCCAGGAGGGCACCAGGGGTGGCATAGGAGGATTCAACCTTCTGGAACCCCTCAGGAACTTGACAATGAGATTGTGCTTTCCCAGGGACCAGCTGTCCACTGCATCGTGATGTGCAGCCACACATACTTTCAAGGTGGAGGGTGACAGCCTACGCTCCAACCTTTCTTGCAGGAAAAAAAGCACTACTCCAATCATGCAACAGACTCCACTTCAGAGCATAGGCTTGCCTCGTCGAGGGAGCTCTAGCCTAAGTGATCTTGTTTACCACCACTGGTGATGGATCACTTAAGTCTGCCGAGTCCCGTCCCGGAGCCACACATGGAGGTCCCAGAGATCTGGACCCGGGTGCCATATGGTGCCGAGCCCCTTAGAAAGGAGGTCCTTCCTCAGAGGGATGCGCCGGGGGGGTCAACCTGGGCTTTTCCGGATCGTCTCGGGATGGAGTCACCATTCTCTGGGGAACGTGAGCTGTCGTGAGAGAACGTCGACTGCACGATTGAGCTCCACTGGAATGTGGATCGCACACAGCGACTTGAGCGGCGTCTGACTCCAGAGGAGGAGATGACGAGCGAGCTGTGACATGTGACGTGATTGCAGACCACCCTGCCGGTTGATGTACAAGACAGCCACAGTGTTGTCCATGCGGACCAACACGTGCTTGTCTTGCAGCATTGCCCGGAACTGCTGCAAAGCCAGATGCACTGCCAACAGCTCTAGGCAGTTGATGTGCCAAAGCAGTCGAGGCCCTGTCCAGAGCCCCAAGGCTGCCTGCCTGTTGCATGTAGCGCCCCAACCCGCACTGGAGGCATCCGTCGTGACAACGACATGCTGGGACACTTGTTCTAAGGGCACCCCGGCCCGTAAAAAGGCAAGGTCTGTCCAGGGGCTGAATAGGCGGCAACACTCCGGTGTGATGGTCACATTAAGTGTACTGCGACGCCATGCCCTTCTCGGGACTCGGGAGTGTAACCAGTGTTAAAGTGGTCTCATTTGAAGCAATCCGAGCGGCGTGACTGCGGCTGCAGATGCCTGGGTGCGAGGTCAGCACTGACTGGGCGCGCTCATTGGTAAGACGCGCTGCTATACTTACTGAGTCTAACTCCATACCGAGAAAAGCGATCTTCTGCACGGGGGAGAGTTTGCTCTTTTCCCAGTTGACCCGAAGTCCCAACTGGCTGAGGTGCTGGAGCACCAGGTCCCTGTGATCGCACAACTGCTCTTGGGCCATGATGAGTCAGTCGTTGAGGTAGTTGAGGATCCTGATGCCCACTTCCCATAACGAGGCAAGGGCGCCCTCCGTGACCTTCATAAAGACAAGGGGGGACAGGGACAGCCCGAAGAGGATGACCCTGTACTGCCATGCCTGACCCTCGTACGCAAACCATAGGAATGGCCTGTGTCGAGGAAGAATCGAGGCATGAAAGTAAGCGTCTTTCAGGTCGACCGCTGCAAACCAATCCTGGGGCTGGATGCATCTGATGATGCACTTCTGCATCAACATCTCAAATGGGAGCTTGTGAAGGGCCTGATTCAAGACTCACAGATCCAGAATTGGCCAAAGGCCACTGCCTTTCTTAGGCACGATGAAGTAAGGGCTGTAAAACCATGACTTTATCTCGGCTTGAGGGACAGGCTCGATTGCGGTTTTTTCAGTAGGACAGCAATCTCGTTGCGCAGAACAGGGGCATCTTGAGCTGCCACTGAAGTCTCGAGAACGGCGCTGAACCTGGGGGGTCGCCTGGCCAACTGAATCGTGTAGCTGAGTCAAACTGTCCGAATGAGTAAGCAGGACGGGTTGGGCTGCACGAGCCACACTTCCAAGCTCCGTGCGAGTGGCACCAAAGGGACAATCGACACACCCGCAGTGGTGCAGCAGTGGGAAGTCTGTGCTGCATGGCACAGAAGGCATCATGTCCTGGCTCATCACAGCAGGATTCCCCGTGCCCCCGGAGGGACTGGCCAGAGATGCGTGAAGAGACAGTGCATCTCTGAGCCGCGATCTCTTTGCTGCTGGTGATAGGGGGCGTCGTGGGTGAGAGTGAGGTGGCAGTGCATCGCTCACTGTCAACCCACAAGCCTGATTACCCAGAGGAAAAAGAAACTGCTCTTTTTTTTCGAGAATGTTGGTACCGCTGGCCGTTGGACCAGTGGCGGAACAGAAACAAAGCGAAACAAAGGATTCTCCACCCGGCCCTCCTCAGGGAGAAGGAGTGGCGCTGTTCTCGCCATCTCCTGAAAAAGAGCAGCTTCCCACATCTCCGGGTTGCCCATGTCAGGGCTGCTTTGTCGTCTTTTTAGAGGACTTAGGGGCCGGCTGGGACACGGAGGACAACGAGCAGGTTGAGGCGCGGCCCGAGGTGGAGCGGTGGCAGCTGGAGGATCATGCCGGGGCAAGATGTGCTGGATGGCCTCAGTCTGTCTCTGCACTGCCGAGAACTGCTGGGCAAAGTCCTCGATAGTGTCGCTGAATAGGCCAACATGCGAGATGGGAGTGTCAAGAAAATGCACTTTGTTGACATCTCTCATCTCAACGAGGTTAAGCCAAAGATTGCACTCTTGGGCCACAAGTGTGGACATCACCTTCGGAACTACCCTCGTGCATTTGTTTGAGTGCCTTGACTTGGTGGACCTGCAGGATAGCCATGGCATGCAGGGCAGAGGCGGCCTGGCCTGCAGCACCGTAAGCTTTGACTGCAAGAGCGGCCATCAGCTTACAGGCTTTGGATGGGAGACGCGAACGATTCCTCCAAGTGGTGGTGTTTTGCAGGCACAGGTGCACCGCAACCACTCTCTCCAACTGGGGAATGTCTACTTACCCCCTAGCCGCCCTGCCATCGAGGGTAGTGAGGAAGGAGGAGGGAGACGAGCAGCTTCTGGCCAAAAAAGGGGCCGTCCACAACTTCATCAGCTCCTCAGGCACTGGCGCGGGACGCGGCTCACAACCGTGCCGTGCGCCGGTGCCTTTTTTCCTGGAGGTGCATGAGGATTGCTTGGGTTAGGGTTAGGGTTATGGTTAGAGAAACCAATCATCCAGCCGCGAGGGGGCTGGACTGGGAGGCATGCACACCTCCAGCCCGATACTCGCGGCTGCCCAGTAAAGCACGGCCATCACTTCAGGGTCCGATTCGGCAGCGGTCACAACACCCAAGGGGGGCAGCCCCACCGAATCTTCATCCTTGGAGGACGATAGCCCATCCCCCCGATGCTGCAATCGACATCAAGCCGGGCCAGCGAAATCACTCGGGAGCCGCACGGGACATTCGCTGTGGGAGGAGTGAGAGGTCCGTGGGGACGTGCCTGGCAGAGAAGCTCTCACTGTGACCCTCAGATCTCCCAGAGCTCTAGCTGGTGGTCCCCTGCTCGTGACAGGGAAACCGGGACAGAGTCAGAGGGTGCCGCTCCGTTCTCCGTGAGGAGAGAGAGGCGAGATCTCAGCAAACCCATGCTCATACGCTCGTAATTAACGCATAAGTCATCCATGAACGCACCTTCAGTGTGTTGGATGCCCAGACACTGAAGGCAACGCTCGTGGCCGTCGACCAAGGACAGGTAACGACCGCAACCAAGAAAACACGGATGGAACGGCATCTTTAAAAAGATGCGAGCCGTCCGTGATGAGAAACTGCTCTTTTAGTTGAAGCACCCAGGGGAATCGCTGAATCAACAGGACACCGCTGTTTGTGCTGTCACGCCAACCAGGAACAGCTTCTTTCTTCCAGTCAGAACGAAAAGGCTTTGTGGAGAAGAAATCATTCACCCACTCGGCTCTGAAGCAAAAATCTGATGAGTGGATGCAGCTGTCGCCTATTTATACCTGTATGCATGGATGGCTCAGGTATGCAAAATCCACTAGCCAAAATTCATTAGCGTTTTCTCTGAAAGTCAGAGCGAATTGGGGCTCTCAAGTAAACACCCTATGTCGTCACGACATAACTCGTAGTGACCAGCAGATAGGGAACTATTTGCATGAACTACTGTGGAACTAAACTTAAAATATTGGCAGAAAAATTGTGGCACCAAACTGTTCACATCATATACAGTGCGATTAAATGACATGAAAGTATAAATGATGCAGTTTTTGGTACCAAAACTAATTGCGTAAACTACGATATAACTAAACTGTCATAAACATGTGAAATATCCTCAAACATTTTGTTATTCTCTGAATGAAAAAAGGATACTACAATTCAACATTTAATATAGCTTCCAAATAAAATGAACAATTATTGAGGTGGAATATTTTTGAAAAATGGGTGCAAATTGTTGTCTGATCTGGAACATTTTTTTTAGAAAAAAAAAAATCCAACAAAATCTATAATATATATATATATATATATAGTTTTTTGTTAGATTTTTTTTCTAAAGGCATCAGACTTTATGAATTGCATAAATTAGACTGAAAGTTTTATTCTTTTCAGGGTACCATATACATTTTCATGCTGTAATTATATAAAAAAAACAGTTATTATATGTAATATAAATGCATATTGTGATTGTCTATTTATCTATACATATTAATAGACAATGTTGGATTATTTTAATTACTGGTATATATGACACAAAAACATTTTCATGTCTGTTTTTTCCTTTAAATCCTGATTTGTTCGTCACTTTCGTCACTAATGTGTGTTTTATAAATGAGTCCCCTTGTCTAGAAATAGCTGTTTTATTCTACATAGGGTGGTCCGCTTCATGGTGGCAGCCATTTTAAGATCACATGACCAGCCAAATACTAATCACTTTATTTTACTAAGCCCCAAATATTGAACACTTGCAGAACAAGTTAATCATGCCTGTGAATATGGCATTTCCATGACTGCATTAACAAAACAAATTCTATATCCACACCAATAGAGGTCAGTATAAAGTCAAAGAGTAATGTAGAATTGGTCAATGAAATGGATAAAAAAATTGATTGGTGCACCTTTAAATCAGTCAATAACACCAGCAACTTTTATTTAGAAGAACACGAATGACAGTAGGTACATTTGCCTTTATGCATTTAGCAGATGCTTCTATCCAAAATGACTTGCATTGCATTAAAGGTGTATTAAGGTATATTTTCTGTTGTGATCACAGGCTGGCGAGGCGTCGCAGGTGGAGACAGTCTCTGAGGAGAATAAGGGTTTGATCTGGACTCTCCTGAAGCAGCTGAGGCCAGGGATGGACTTGTCTAAAGTGGTTTTGCCGACGTTTATCCTGGAGCCGCGTTCATTTCTGGACAAGCTGTCGGATTACTACTATCATGCCGACCTGTTGTCCCAGTGAGCACCTCATAAGCATCACTACTGCAACCAGACGCACTTTACTGAGACTGGCAGGTTTAGCTTTCATTGGGTTTGTTGGAGAAGAGATAAAGGTATATCTTTGTGTTTCAGGGCTGTGATGGAGGAGAGCCCGTACAGCAGGATGAAGCAGGTCTTGCGCTGGTATCTGTCAGGCTTCTACAAGAAACCAAAGGTGATGTGGGTGAAGTGCTCATTTTTAGATTGAGAATCACGAGCCAATTCACATTAGCCAGGCTTCCATACATGATATCTATGCATATTTTGGGATATCGCATAAAAATAACTTGGCAAAAACACTAAAATGTACAACTGTTGACAAATTATTAAATGTTTTTTAATGAATTCTCTTAAGCTCACCAAGGTGGCATTGTTTTGATTGAAAACAGTAAAAACAATAATATTGTGTAATATTATTATAATGTAACATAACCATGTTCCATTTTAATAAATTTTACATGTAATTTATAATTTCTTATTATATTATTTTTCAATGTCACATGATCCTTCAGAAAACTTTCTAAAATGGCACTTCATAATTTTTATGGAAACTGTGAGGAATTGGACAGTTTAATAAAAAGTTGAAAAGAACAGCACAGAATAAACAATATTTATTCTAAAATAAAGCTATTCTAAAATAAAAATATGTATTTTATAAACAAAATTCGTTCTAAAATAAAACATTGTAATTACTATAAAAACAAAACCGTATATTTATTATAAAATAATTGAAAAAAGTCATTTTAATATAAAATGTTTAAAAATGAACTGGAAACACCAAAATATGTTGTTTAAAAGTTTGGGGTTGGTAAGATTTATTTAATGTGTTTGAAAGAAGTCTCTTCTGCTCATCAAAAATATACAGTAGAATAGTGAAATTTTACTACCATTTAAAAGAACGTCTCTAGGTTACGTATGTAACCATGGTTCCCAGAGGGAACGAGACGCTGCGTCGAGACGCTTGGGGAACGCCCTTGCGTGACCGCGTTCTGAAGCACGTGTCAAATCCGTCCAATGGAGCAGCGAGACGTCACAAGCAGGGTGACGTAAGCACCAGAAAGCATAAAGGCACATCCGGCCGGGCGCAAACCAGCTTCGATGAAGTAGCGCCTGCAGGGATGCAGGGAGTATGGCAAAGAGACGCAGCGTCTCGTTCCCTCAGGGAACCATGGTTACATACGTAACCTAGAGACGTTCCCCTTCAGGAACTCGAGCTGCGTCGAGACGCTTTGGGAACGAGAATACCCACTGCGCCATACTTTCGCTCATTGGGGCTCACTGAGCCCTGAAGCACCGAGGTGGCAGGGGTATCAGTGAACCTCCATGAGGGCACTGAGGGAACAACCGACCCGACTGCTGTAGCACCCTCAGTTGAGGGGGCGAGCTCTCCCGTGCCGTACCGTTGCTGGGCGGCAGCTGGGAATTCGCTTGTCGGAGCTCACTGAGCCCTGAAGTGCCGAGGTGGCAGGGGTATAAATGAACCTCCATGAGGGCACTGAAGGAACAACCGACCTGACTGCTGTAGCACCCTCACTTGAGGGGGCGAGCTCTCCCGTGCCGTACCGTTGCCAGGCGGCAGCTGGGATTTTCGCTCGTCGGAGCTCACTGAGCCCTGAAGCACCGAGGGTGGCAGGGGTATCAATAAGCCTCCGTGAGGGCACTGAGGAGGATTGGGCACCGTATACTATCCTTTCCTCCTTTCCTCGCCAGGTGGGCTGCCCTCAGGGACCTGACAATGGTAGGACCATTTCGCCGAGGTCCTCTTAACGGTCCGCCGGTCCGCAGATCCGTTTTCGGTCTATAAGACCCCAACTGAGAGCATCGCCCGACCCCCGATCTTTCTGTGGAGGGTTGCGGGTTGCAACGCTCTGTTTTTGAGACTGGCGATATAAGGAGCTTTATGACTTGGGCTGCTGCTCGCTCTGCAGCCCCGCCCCTGAGCAGGTCAGCCTGGTATGCTTGTAACACTGCCATGGTGTGCAAACATGCGCCAGCCTGACCTACCGCCGTATAAGCTTTCCCAACCAGACTCGATGTAAGCCTAATGGGCCTGGTGGGAAGCTTCGGGGCCTTCAGGGACGATGCTGAGGATGGGGAGAGATAGCTCGAAAGCGTCTGCTCCACCACTGGCATCGCCCCATATACCTTATCATTCAGCCCCACGATGTTCTTTGAATAATTTGAGACTGTGGGGCTGTAATACGGGATGAGTACGGTTTCTCCCACGATCTTGGCACTCAGCATGGAGATCGGGAAAAACGGAAGGCCCCCGTCGTGAAGGCTGTGATCTGGATTCAGAACATGCTCGTCTAATTATTTTTAGGACGAGCGTCCTGTTTCTAGGCTGGCCAAACGATATTTTATTTTTGGCGCGAATCATCCCCCATAATCACAAATCACACCTCATACGCGAGGGACTGTGGTGGCGAGTCCACAGTCTCCTCTGTCTCGACACTCGTCACATCCACCTCGGAGGAGGAAGATAGACGAAGAGCTGCGGATCTAGCGGGTGAGGACCGAGAAAAGGACGAGCCCGTCTCGGATCCCTCCGCTAAATCCACCCGCGATCCCCACGACAACAGTCTGCGCTGTGCCTCGGCAACAGCGGGACTGCTGCCAACGGGATCGCGAGCCTGGCCTCTGTCATCAAACGCAGCCAGGCGAGAGCGGAGCGTGCGCAGCGAGAGCTCGCAGTGATGACAATCAGCTGCTCGAAAGTTGACCGTGCATGCTCCGCTCCTAAACAAACGACACACAAATCGTGTCTATTCCCTGCCGCCAGATATCGTGGGCAGGGAGAAACACAGCGTTTGTAATGCCGTTCACTCGCCATAGACTTCTCATTGTTTTATATATATATGAGTGCTTGTGCGGACAGACAACAGTAAATAGACAGACACATACACATAGCGCTACTGAAGAGCAGAAGCTGGTTTGCGCCTGGCCGGATGTGCCTTTATGCTTTCTGGTGCTTACGTCACCCTGCTCGTGACGTCTCGCTGCTCCATTGGACGGATTTGACACGTGCTTCAGAACGCGGTCACGCAAGGGCGTTCCCCAAGCGTCTCGACGTAGCTCGAGTTCCTGAAGGGGAACTATGGTTTTACTACCATTTTAATATATATTAAAATGCAATTTATTCCTGTGATGCAGATCTGAATTTTCAGCATCAATACTCCAGTCTTCAATGCCACATGATCCTTCAGAAATCATTCTCATATGCTGATTTGGTGCTCAATAAACATGTATTATTATTATTATCAATGTTAAAAATTAATATTTTAACTCAAGCTTAATATTTTTGTGGAAGCTGTGACAAATTTGTGACAATTTGTTGATGAAAAGGAAGTTCATAAGAACAGCATTAATTTGTTCTACTTATACATTATTATTATTTTTATTTTGTAACATTATAAATGTCATTACTTTCACTTAATGCATCCTTGCTGGATAGATTATTAATTTCCTTAAAACAACAACAACAAAACTGAACAGTAGTGTATACTTCTGAAGACATGTATTTATCATTAGGGTGTGCGTATGGTTTATATTGACACTAATTGTGTTTCTCGGATGTCTTTCAGGGGCTGAAGAAACCGTACAACCCTATTCTAGGAGAGATGTTTCGATGCTGCTGGCTGCATCCACAAACAGACAGCTGTACATTCTACATCGCAGAGCAGGTGAGACTCTACAATTACAATTCAAATATCTGACATTGCGTTAAATAAAAATGATCAAACCCAGCGGCATTTTAAAACAATATACTGATATTCCGTTTTTGGACACTTTCTGCTTGTCTAAATATCTGCAGTGTGAAGTGGTTAGTCTGTCTTCCTCTGCATACAATGTAAACATGACGACAGTCTCTGTTCGTAATAACAGTGGAAACCGATAATCGGTTGACTTTTGTACTTTCAGGTTTCTCATCACCCTCCAGTTTCAGCTTTCTACATCAGCAATAGGAAGGACGGATTCTGCATTACTGGAAGCATTCTGGCCAAATCCAAGTTTTATGGTATATAACATTCATGCAGACATGCAGTGATTTTCATACACAGCCTGTGTGCTTTTGTTGTGACGTTGGTTGTAAGTTCAGTGTGATTTCTTTAAAGGGAACTCGCTGTCTGCTATACTTGATGGAAAGGCCAGGCTGTTGTTTCTCACCCGAGATGAAGAGTATATCATCACAATGCCGTACGCTCACTGTAAAGGTGATGGACCCTAAATTTCATAATTAAATAATGTACTGAATTTTAAATTATAGTAAGAAATACTACACCCACAAATAATAAAATATTTATTTATTCTTTAACATCAAAAAACTAATCCTACATCATTATGTTATTATTTACTCACTCTCATTTAATTGCAAAAACATGCTAATATTTTTATTATTTGCAATGAAATTAGGTAAATCACAAGAAAACTGTCAACACAATTTGTTTTCTAAAACAAAATAATATATTATTTTAAAACAAAACATGTTTTTTCTAGAATCTTAAAGAAAGCATAAACAATATTATAAAATAAAATACAAATCATAATTTATTCTCAAATTGAATATATGCCTTTTTTAATTGCTGTATTTATTTAGGTTGTTTTTGTTATTAATATTACTAAATACTATAATGTATTTTTTAATTGTTTTATACACATGCACACATAAATAATAACTGTCAGTGTTTATGTTTTCGTGAAACATTAATACATGGAAATTGTGTCTTTCTTACAGGGATTCTGTATGGTACAATGACATTAGAACTTGGCGGGAAAATCACCATTGAGTGTGAAAAAACACAATGTTACACAGAACTTGATTACAAATTGAAGGTAAGTCCCAAACCTAATTATGTGACTTATTTATGTTTTTAATTATGATCTTACAACTGTTGTCTTTTTCTTTGTTCCAGCCTTTTCTTGGCAGCTCTTGCAACGTTAACCAGATTTCTGGAAAGATCCGTTTGGGGGAAGACGTTCTGGCTACAGTGGACGGGCACTGGGTAAGAATCATTGCAGACACTTACATAAAAGAACAGTCATATCAGAAACACTTCTTATAAATTCCAAAATAAAGTATAATAAAATAAAGCCACCTGCTGGCAGAGAGTGAATCTGCGTCTAGTTCAGCTCGTCTGCTGTTTCTGTTTCATGCAGATATTTTGTATGTATAGTTTCACAAAACTGAAGTCAAACCATTCTGTTTTTGCTTCAAATTTCGGAATTATACAAATCTAATTTAGATTCAAAACTGCTCATGTTGCATGTATGCAGCATCTTTGTTTGGATCATGATTAAAATGCAGTGGTTGCCTCTCATTTTAAAAGGAAAGAGCACAGACAAAGCTTTATTTTGTTTATATGAAGAGATTTATTTTATTTGCGTTACTTATTTATTTGATTTGGGGCTTGTTTTAAAATTTCAATTTAGTTTTGTTTTTTACATTTATATTATATTTAAATTTTGTTATTAAGCATCTGCTAAATAACAACATTTAAATATAATATAAATGCAAAATGCTGCACTAATTTCTTTGTGAAATTGAAATATAACACTTTATATTATTATAGTGTTATATTTCAATTTCACAAAGAAATTAGTGCAGCATTTTGTCCAAGCACTAATAAAAGGACACATTTAATTTATAATTTGTTTAAATCTCATTTTGTTAAAAAAACAATTGTGAATCAAATCGAATCATGAGTTGAGTGAATCGTTACATCCCTAGAAATAAGACAGAACTTTATTCATTCCTATGGGGGAAATGGAGGCCAGACTTAAGCGCACAAGTTCCGAGATTGCTTATCAGAGTGGTTGACAGCACATGCTCTCACAGACGTCTTTCTGCAGGACAGTAAAGTGCACCTGACTGAGAAGAGGACGGGCCAGCAGGAGGTGCTGTGGAACCCCGGTCCAGACATACGCAGACAGCGGCTGAAGAGACAGGTGGTGCAGGTGGATCAGCAGGAGGCGTTCGAATCTGAGAGGTGCACAGACACATTCAGAAGCGGAAGGGTTAAAGACAACAGGGAAAGAGAGAGCTGCAAAATATAGTAGGCAACATTTGAAGTGGCTCAAAAAGATTAATCAAAGTTGTCCTAAGACAAGAACACATTTTGGTTTTAGGCTTTAGAACAACTTTGATAAAAGGTTTTGATCCACTTCAAATGCTGACTAGTGTAGATTATCCATATGCAAGTTGATTTGTGATTTACCATACATTTTTTTTATGTTTGATTTATTTTAATTACTGATTTCATTTATTTTATTTTATTTTCATTTATTTAATTTTTTTTTTCATTTATATAATTTTAGTATAAATAATTCATTATTATTAGTAGTAGTAGTAGTAGTAATAGTAAAATCTAATAATATAATATAAAATATAATAATAATAATAAATATGGGGTCCCACTTTATATTGTGGCCCTAATACCTGTGTACTTACATAGTAACTAGATGTATACGTAGTATGTAACCACAGTGTATGTACACATTGGTACATAGTATCTACAGCTGTAATGTTTGTGTAACTACACACATGCAACAGCCCACTGAATGGTGTGTGTAAGTACAAATGTGTAACAGGACATTGGTAGCAACACTTTTTGGTAAGGAAAGTACAAATGTGTAACAGGACTAACAGCACTTTTTGGTAAAGAAAGTGTGACACTTTATATTAGATTTACCATGTAATTACTCTGATGTTACACAGCAGCGGCCAGTAAGTTAGGCTTTACATATCAATTGTGGTTGGTGTCCAGAATGTTACACTTCATATTAAGTGGACAGTTCCTGAGGAGTTACCATGTAAGTACACTGGTATTACAGTGGTGCACCAACTCCACCAACTTGAGATCCAAGTCCTCCCACTTTACATATCCCTAAACCTACCCATCTCCACCCAAGTTCAAGTTTATTTCTAAAGCACATTTAAAAACAGCTAAAAGGCGACCAAAGTGCTGTACACTCTGTACAAATACAATAAGTAAAATATTAATAGCATAATGTCAAATACACATAACATGACTATAACAAAATCAATTAATAAACGCCAAAGTAAAAAGATGAGATTTTAGACAAGATTCAAACACAGGTAGAGTGGAGGACATTCTAATATGAGATGGTAAGTTGTTCCAGAGTGTAGGACCAGCCACTTCAAATGCTCTATTTCCACTCGTCTTTAGACGAGTGCGAGGGATCTGGAGGAGAAGTTTTTCCTCGGATCGTAATCGTCTTGTGGGGATGTAGGGATGAAGTAGGTTTGTAAGATAAGGCGGAGCTAAATTGTTCAATGATTTGTAGACAAACAGAAGAATTTTAAACTCAATTCTGTACTGAACAGGCAGCCAATGCAGGGATCTCAGAATGGGTGTAACATGATCAAATGTTTTACACCCCTTCAGAAATCTAGCTGCTCCGTTTTGTACTACCTGTAAACGAGAAATTTGAGTTTTTGAAATGCCATAGTACAGCGAGTTACAGTAATCCAGCCGTGACGTGATGAAGGCATGGATGGCAATCTCTAAGGAAACTACAGAAAGAAATGGTTTAATTTTAGAAAGGGACCAAAGGTAGAAGAAGCTGGAGCCTACGACAGAACTGATCTGTTTAGCGAATTTTAAAGAATTATCGAACTCTACACCCAAATTTCGCACTGAGGGGGAAGTAAATGAATTTAGGTGCTTAAGATCACTATGACCTCCGTTTTATCTGTGTTTAAGAAAAGAACATTTTTAGAAAGCCAGGATTTAACATCATCAAGACAAGCAGATAAGGTATTTAAAGCACTTTCTTTTTTCCTAGTAACTGGTAAATATATTTGCATGTCATCGGCATAACAATGAAAAGAAACTCCATGCTTTCCAAACACAGAACCCAGAGGAAGTAAATATAGAGAAAAAAAGAGTAGGAGCTAAAATCGAGCCCTGAGGAACACCACATGTTGAAAGACCCAGAGATGAAGTACAATTACCTATTTTAACCCTAAATCTTCTATTAGTTAAAACGGATTTAAACCAACTTAGAACAGCACCTCCCAGGCCTACAAAAGATTATAATCGAGAGATAAGGATCTAGTGATCAACAGTATCAAATGCTGAAGATAGGTCCAGCATTACTAAAATGACGGAATCTCCAGAATCTGTAGCCATTAAAACATCATTAAGAACTTTTATAAGAGCTGTTTCAGTACTGTGCAAAGATTTTAACCCAGACTGGAATGTCTCATAAATCTGATTATTTGTTCAAACGGACTGAAGCTGTAAAAACACAATTTTTTCCATCACCTTAGAAATAAACGGTAATTCAGATATTGGCCGAAAATTGGATAAAACAGTAGTGTCAAGTGAAAGTTTTTTTAGGATAGGAGAGACTGTGGCCATTTTCAGACTGTCTGGTATAAATCCAGATGAACTTGAACATTTCCACCCCTGGATCAAATTGTTCCAATTACTCTTATACATATTATTATTACAAAATGTAGTTATATATGTCCTGTTACACATTTGTACTTGCACAAACCATCCTGAGGGTTGTTACATGTGTGTAGTTACAGAAATATTACAGCTCAAGATACTATGTACCAATGTGTACTTACACTGTGGTTACATACTATGTACACATCTAGTTACTATCTAAGTACACGGCTATTAGGGCCACTTAATATAAAGTGGGACCACATGACTGTGAGTGGAGAAGGATGTTTTTGGTGTAGTTACAGGATCTACCAGCAGGTGTGAACTGCTAACGCTAACCAGTCAAACCTTGTTGAAGACTCCAAATCACTCTTAGATCTCTTGAATCTTGACCTCTAAATCAACTTTGCAAAGCATCATTAAATATGACCTTTATGTTCTGGTTCATATTACAGCACATCAGAGAGCTGTGAAATGTGCTGTGACTGAGCAGTAATGGCTGTTTGGTATGTTTTCCTGCAGGCTGTGGCAGCATGTGACCAGAGCCATTAACGATAAAGACCAGATGAGAGCCACGCAGGAGAAGTTTGTGCTGGAAGAGGCTCAGCGGCAGGAGGCCCGAGAGCGAGCCGAGCGGCCCTGGAACCCACGACTCTTCACCTTCAACTCCGACACCAATGAGTGGCACTACAAATACCCCGAGTACGTCCACAAGACCACACCGAGGCTCTTATTAATTACCATACACACACAATACAGAAAAATAATGTGCTTTAAAACTAATTTAACTGATAGCCCTATTTATATTGGTGTATATGTACAGGAAGGTTTTTTTTTTTCTTACAATAAGTTTACATAAGTTAACATTGGTTATCATTAGTTCACATGAACTAACAATGAAAAATGCTTCTAAAGCTTAATCTTAGTTCATTGTTTTGTTTTAGTTTTTACTTTTACCAGTAAATTATTCAAATCAATAGTTTTGTCTGCTAATATTATTTGATGGAACTGAGTTAAAAATGAACAGTTAATGAACGTTAACAAAGATTAATAAATGCTGTTACAAATGTATTGCTCATTAATAGATAATGTTAGGTAATCCAATAACTAATGTTATCAAATGTGACCTTATTATGAAGTGCTACCTTTTGATTATATAATATATTATTATATATTATTAAATTACGAATTGTTAATAATAATACTAATTATTTATTATTAGTAGTAGTAGTAGTAGTAAATACTATAATGTTATTAATATGTATATACAATGATATATATTTTATTTATTTGTATGAATATTAATTGTGTGTGTGTGTGTTGTTTTATTATTAGTCAAGTATAGATGTTTATTAATTATCATACACGAATGCTACAGAAAAATAATATGATACAAGCAAAATTAACTGATACCCAAATTTTCAGTGGTGTATGGTTTTTTATATATTATTATTATTATTATTATTATTAACTATAATATTATAAAAAATGGTGTATATTTTATTTATTTTTATTAATATGAATGTTCTATTTATTGTAATAAATCAACATTAATAAGGGAATTACAGTATTTTATTTATTATTTTTAATATTTTAATCTTAAATGTGTAAATCATTGCTTTTTTTCCAAGCATTTTTTATTGCTAAATGAAAATTACAAAACCACAAATTTGGCAGTGTTCCAGTAACTAATAATCTCCTCGTCCCAATTCTGTTCTCAGCACTGAGGCGTGGGATCCGGAGCACTGTCTGCTGCAGTTTGAGAAAGACGGCGTCATCCAGACTAAAGAGAAATCCCAGCGCCAGCGCAGCAGCTACACCTACAGCCAGAACTGGGCTGCACAGCAGAAGGTGAGTCCCACAGGTTCCTATTGTTCATGTAGGTGACCTGCTGGCCCTTCAGGGTGTGTTTGGTTGACAGACATGTGTTTCTCAGGTGCGGGTGAATGGCAAACACAGGAAGTCGAGCAGCCAGCCGTCCAGCTGCAGTCAGAACACAGAGAGCAGCAGCAGCACACCAGAACCCAACCATGAGTCATCTGACAACGAAGGCCAGTCATCAAGCCATACACAAACACAGCTCCATTCTAAGTGCTGAATAAATAGTTCCTCCAGCAATTAAAATAGTTCAGCAGTCTGACGGTAGACTGTTACAAAAGCTTCAGACGTGACTAATCCAATCAGATTTTCAAACTTCAACCATCCGCTTTGTGCTTTATGTGTCTCAGATCCATTAGACTGTAACGGACTAAAATAAATTGACTTTACGCTGTATATTACAGTAAACTAGCTGCACCTATACAAACAATTTGGACTTTTAAGTACCTATAAAAAAGTAATTAAAAATCAGGCTGATTAGAAAGAGTAAAAAACCCAAATAAAATAATTTATTCTAAAATAAAACAATTTATTCTAAAATGAAAAGATTTGTTCTAAAATAAATGTGTATTCAAATAAAAAAATATATGAATGAAAAACATTAAAAAATATATTTATTCTAAAATAAAACAAAATAATTAAAATAACACTTATTCTAAAACAATCAGTTTATTCTAAAATAAAAAAAATCTAAAATAAATGTGTGTTTTTAAATAAAATAGATAAGATAAAACACAAAACTCTTGTAAAATGAAAATATTTATTATACAAATTATTATAAAATGAAAATGATATGATAATGAAATACAAAGGTAAAAAAAGATTTTAAAACAATTTATTATAAAATAATAAATACTAAAATAAATAAATGTATTATTAAATATAATAATGCATTTTTAAATAAAAAATAAAGTATGAATTCTAAAATAGAATATGTATTCTAAAAGCAACATAAATATTTATTTATTTAAATAGTAAAAAAGTAAAAAAGTTTATTATAAAACAAAAATATGTATTAAATACAAAATATTTATTTTTAAATAAAACCGTATGTTATCAAATAAAAGTATGGATTAGAAAACAAATATATATATATATATATATATCTATACACAATCAAAAATAAAATTCAAAAACAATTCAAGTCTTCAGATTTTTATATATCTCATTTTGACTTCGTCAGGCTTTATGAACCAGTGTGCGAGATGCACTAAAGAAGTGAAGGACATCGCCCTCATAGAGACCTCGGTAGCAGCTATACAGAAAACACAGCAGGACATCCAGAGGCAAGTACAGCCTGAGACATACTGTACTCATCATTACTGACGGCATAATAACTACATGTTTCTCTGTTATTCAATATCATATATTAATCACACTGATCCCTTTATCTTCAGAAACCTGAGTGCACTGGGACGTCAGATCACGCGGCACAAGACGGCGGAGGAGAGCAAGTCCTTGAGCGGCCGCCACTGTCTCATCCTCTGCATGCTGTTGCTCTTCCAGCTACTCATCAACTACGTCTTCACTTGAGATGCTGTCACCTATCGACCATCGCCTTGCAATAAACACAGCCAAACTATCACCGCCACACAGCCCGTTGAATGCCCCGTCGCGATGTTGCTACCGACTGTAGCCACACCATCAAGCACTAAGCACTTCAATTAGAGAGAAAGAGACTCTTGTTTTAATTAATATGACCGATAATCAGAGTGGATGTAAAACGCTGTACTGCCACTCTCGGTAACTGACGTATTCTCTCTTTCCTACGTACTTCCCTTTCTCTGCAATATAGGCCATGTATTTGTGGCATATTTGAATGCAGTTGAATGGGTTTGTGTGTCTGTGTGCGTGTTTCCCACAAACTCCTCTTCCATTTATACATCGGGCCTTAATACTGATGCCAAAAAGCTAGGAAAAAGAAACGAAAAGGCAGTGAAGTCCACCAGTGCAATTTTATTATGCTTTCAAGTGAACCTCTGACCACACAAATTTGCTCATTTTATTATTTAACCAAAACAGTGTTTCTGTATAGAACAATACAAAGAAGAGTAAATGTTTACAAACTTGATTGTACACAAAGGAAACAATGCTCTGACACCAAATGCGTCGTGTAGATGTAGATGAAGTTAACAGAATCGGCGAAAGCACTACGATAACAGAATGAACAATCAGCCATAAGACTATGGCAAGCCAATTTAACATTTAATCCTTAAAACATACTAGTATCCAGTTTCATACTACTAGTATATATTTTTAGCTACTAGTATGTATTCCATTAAGTACTAGTTCTTATTCATTAGCTACTAGTTATAATTCATTAGCTACTAGTACTTATTCATTAGCTACTAGTTATAATTCATTAGCTACTAGTACTTATTCATTAGCTACTTTTTCTTTTTCATTAGCTATTAGTTTTTATTCATAAGCTACTAGTTCTTATTCATTAACTAGGCCTCCTAGTGATTACTCTTTAGCTCAGGGCTGTCCAAACTCGGTCCTGGAGGGCCGGTGTCCTGCAGAGTTTAGCTCCAACTTGCCTCAACACACCTGACTTGAAGTTTCTATGCCTAGTAAGAGCTTGATTAGCTGGTTCAGGTGTGTTTAATTAGGGTTGGAGCTAAACTCTGCAGGACACCGGCCCTCCAGGACCGAGTTTGGACAGCCCTGCTTTAGCTAATAGTTCTTATTCATTAGCCTACTAGTACTTATTCATTTGCTAATAGTACTTATTCATTATCTATGTTATCTGTTTGTTCATTAGCGACTAGTACTTATTATCTACTAGCGCTTATTCATTAGCTACTAGTACTTATTTTAGTAGTAACTAGTGTCTATTCTATTGTTACTAGTAACACATTTAAAATTTTTGCTATTGATTTCTGTGGAAATCTTTCCCTCACATATCAACTGTTTAGTTCTAACTAGTATGTGTTACAAAAATGAGTAGTGATTTTTTTTAAGTATTACTAGTAAGTATTCATTAGATACTAGTACATATTTATTGAATACTAGTATTTTTCATTAGAAACAAGGACCTAAATAGGTACCAGTATCTAATAAAAAGTATGCATACTTGTAGTTATTCATTAGTTACTAGTACTAGTATTTTAGACACTAGTATCGTTTTTTTTACTTGGCTAATGTTATGACTAGTCAGAATGGCCACTGTAGGGTTCAATTAAAAATCGTACTAGTAACATTTGGTATAAGTACTAGTATATAATAAATGTGTACTAGTATGTGTTGTATAAATACTAGTATCTAATGAATAAGCACTGGCATCTGTTTAATAGGTGCAAGTGTCTAATGAGTAAGTACTAGTAGCTAATCAATAAGTACTAGTATCTAATGAATACATACTAGTAATGTAATAATAGGTACTAATATCTAAAAAAAATTTACAATAAGTACTAGTACCTAATGAATAACTACTAGTATATTAAAATACTAGTAGCAATTCTTATCTTACAAGTCACAATTCATTTTGACTCATGTTATGGCCACTGTAGAGTTCAATTAAAAATCTTACTAGTAACATTTAGAATAAGTATTAGTATCTAATAAATGTGTACTTGTATCTGTTGAATAAGTACTAAGTTATAGTATGTAATAAATAAGTTGTATCTAATCAAAAGTGCTAGTATCTGTTTAATAGGTACTAGTAGCATGCAAATAGATACTAATATGTTGTAAGGATTAAATGTTAAAATGGCTTGCCATAATAAGAATATTCATATTCATGACTGTTTGTTGGGCATTGGGTAGGTCAGTCACAATAGGGACACCTTCTGGGAAGTTCCAAGTTCATTGAAGTTGCTTGGATGAAGTGCGATATGTTCAATAATGAAGGTGTGACTGATTAATTGAAAGAGTATATCTTTGTTTGGAACAACTGAATTTGATAATGTATTTATTTGATCATTTCACTTGATTTGTTTTATATATAATCGTACTGTTTTTAAGAACACATTCATTCAGGTTTTCTGGGAGCAAGTACAGTTGAGCATCAAATTGCTTTCTCTTTCTGAAGTTTTTTGTTGTGAAGTTTGAGTGACCCTTTGAGGGGAAATATTAAGGTCAAAGTACAAAACTTCCAATGCAGGATTCATATAGGAAAGTTGTGCTTGAATGATGCTTGCACTCCTGAGCCATATTTCAACCCATTGGAATTTCAAATAATTTTTCATTTCCTTTTTTCCTTTTTTACAGAGCACAGTATGTTATCTTGTCTGACAACTGAAATGAATGAGATGTCAATGGCTCACTGTTTGTTAATGATTGTTGCAATTACAGCATCACAGTAAAGTTTTACATTTCGACATTTTGCTTTGTCATTTTTGAAACATTTACATATAAAATAATACACTCATATAGATCAGTTTTACAACGGTTGTTCACCATTTTGCCAGTAGCCTATTTGAAAGCCATACACTTCCTAATAAGAAGTAATATGTAGCAAGTGTTGTGATTATAATTTGAAAGTCAGTTGGAGGTTATCCTAACTTTATTTACAATTTTAAAGAAAGATTATTTTCAAGAATTCTTAAGAAAATCAAGAAAAACAAACACCTTGGCAACTGCTTTGTAATTAGCAGTCACTAGAACACCTCAGAAATATGTTAACATGCACTCAAAACACCTCAGCAACATGCTAACCACTCAAAAACACATTAGCAACATGTTAGCAGTAGCAGTCACTTAAGGTGCATCCAAAATCGTTTACTGAGTAACTAGATTTGATGAGGTATTAACTTACTGTGTTAAAAGTGTGTTCTGTATAGTATGAATGAAATATGAATGCATTACATTCACCATGTTGCTATTGTCATGTGACCAACGGTGCCATCATTTCATAGGCATTCCACGGCTCCTCTCCTGAGGCCTCATGGAATAGTAAAGTGTCCAATGGAGGTGCATTTCAGAATCTTGTTGGAAATGGTAGATCTGTAGTTTTCACCTACTGCTTTATGAATACTGTGAATCTGGACATAATACTTGTCTCATATATATATATATATATATATATATATATATATATATTTTATTTATTTTTTTGTTACTATATACTGTAGTAGGGAAGAAGACATTCAGAACCAATGTTAGAACACCTTAGCAGCTTCTTCGCAATGTCCTGTCACCCACCAAAACACCTAAGCAATCATATGTCAACTACCCACAATCCCTTGCAATGTGATGGGTGTGTTTTGTGCATAAGAGATGGGCAAAAAGTTCAAGTTCAATTTCTGGTTCAAAGTCTTTTTATTGTCACAGCAGGCAGTCGCAGGGCTTGTCGGGACATGGTAAAAAGTGTGTTACTGTTTGAAAACCCCCTTCCTTCCTCCACTTCCTTGTATAAATGCAGGCCTGTGGAATGAAAGTGCAATATTTGCGGTCTGCTGTCTGATCTGGTCAAAGGAAAATAGAAATAAGAGACAACCTGTCTCAACCCACCTGCGGGTATCTAGTTGATTTTCATGGAAACTATGACTGCAGAAAAAGTCTCCAGGCGGAGGTTGGGTGTGGTTTTCTGGGAGCGTGTGAGTCAGCGATCCACTTTCAAGCAATACAGCCGTAGGTTAGAAGACAAATGCTATTTTAGTTCAACATCTCTCCCATGATCCCTTGGTGTCAGGATGTTATGTTGCACAGTCATGTTAATGCAGTCTCTGGGGATACCAATGCAGAAACACATGAAGATTATAATTTTTTAGCCTTGAGTCATCTGATATATGTTTACTTGGTAACTGTTTGTTTATTTGTCTTCATGGTGATCATTCAGTTCATTGTGCCATTTGTCGGCCCATCACACTGATGGACAAGTCTAGGAAGGACAACAGTAGTTGCAACTACGCCAAGGCCTTCAGGCTACATATCTGCGAGTGGGCGCATACACTGGACCTTTGTGTTCGGATACATGCGGGGGAAGACGGAAACACTCTGAAAACGCAAGGCCTAATTAGGTCACATATTTGCTGGACTCTACACAAAATAATTCCTTCCTCCTACAGTAGTGTAGTGTGCTTTCTGGGACAACAAAACGTGAACATAAGATTTGATGCCTGAGGACAAATTGTCTATCAAATGATGAAACCTCAATAGATCCTTAAAGGTGGACGTGACCCATGCATGACTGACAGAAGAGCGGGTGTGGGTGTTCTGACAGTACTTCTGTAAGTCAAAACCCTCGGAGGGATGTTGGGTCTCTTGGGTTCTTACCGTCACACCTTTCTTTGTTAGCGGTTTCTGGACGCTCTTGGCGTGGCTCAAGTCCCGAGGCCTGCAAAGAGTCTTTGTTCCACTGTAATGTCTCCAGTGCAGTCATACATTTGGAGATTTGCTCTTTAGGAATGTGTCTTTAAACAAGGTGGTCTGTGTTGTCTTCTTCATGTTGCTAGGCATGTACATATTAGGTACACAGTGTCCCATTCAAAGATTGAGGTGAGGGACTTTCTCGAGACAGTCGGTAAGACAATATTTAGTGTTGCTTACATTTACATTATCAAAGAACATCATCACTGGCTTCAGTCTAGCGCGAGTTTATTCACTCCAATTATAATCAGTGAAGCGGTCTACACTGTATGATGAATAAATCTCTTATACTTGCATCGTATGTACATCTGCACTTTGTTGTTTATGATGAGAGAATTTGCAAGAGAGCAGAATTCAGTCAGCGATCGTGCGCACTCAACAACAAAACTCTGCTGTTTCAGCGATGATGACTAATTTGAACGCGTCATTTGATTGGCCACTGCATTTATAGTCAACGGAATCGTGTATAATTGGTTATAATGCACGACACTGTAAAAACACGGAAAAAGAAATATGATGGAACAAGAAATATGATGGAAGCCCTAATATTAATTAGATCGCCTGCTAATAATAATAATAGTCACAGGCGATATCTCTATCGTCGATACTATTGCCTATCGGCACAACTAGTGTTGCTATGCTTATGTAAAATGAAAAGGTAGTGTAGCACAGTGTCTGGTACAAGTTCTGCAAGTTGTGAGCCTTAAGCTATCATATTTGGGTCCTTGAACAGTATGTCCAACCTACATCATTTCATAAATGACTTGTCACTAGGTTTTATGAACAACTAGTCAGTCTTAAGGAACGCACAATGTCAAGGCCTTGGCTAGTCCAATTAGTGTGCACATACACTAGTTACAATTGACAAGTTGGTCTGTTGGTCTGGTCTGTTAGTCCAGCTCTGTGGTTCAGTGGGTGGAACTGTTGCTTCACATCAAGAAGGTCTCCAGTTTGAGCCCTGGCTGAATCAGGAGGCCTCTCTGTGTGGAGTTTGCATGTTCTTCCCAAGTTTCTGTGAGTTTCTTCTGGGTGCTCTGATTTCCCCTCAATCAAAAACATGCAGGATAGGTGACTTGGAAACTAAATTGTCTGTAGGTGGGTGTGTGTCATGTGATGGACTAGCCATCTGTCCAGGGTGTTTTCCTGCCTACGGCTTGAGATGCTGGTAATGGCTCCAGGATGGATGTTAGTCCCACTTTGCAAAAAATGGCTGGTATGATTTCAGTCAGACATTAATCAACAAGTTATACTCTTCTAGTTCCAATTAAACTTTTAAAGGGCATGTAAAAGTACAAAAGTTACTGTTAGCATGCTAACAAGCTAAAACCCTGTCTTAGAAGTTGTTTCTGGAAAATCACAGACACTTAAAAATATTAAAGCTATTGAAGGGAAAATGTAGAACTCTCTTAGTCAGCCTCACTGATGGACCAGTTGAATGTTGGACAGCTGATCACTACACTGAACTTCTGGTCGCTCTGGATAAAAACATCCGCTACATTGTTGGAGTGCTGACCTAGCAGTTAGTGCGCATGTTCTGACATGTTGAGCCATGGTGCTTGCTTATGCAAGTGATGTGAGTTTGAACCTGATTCTGTCATTTCCAGAATCCATTCCCCACTTTTCTCTCCGGTGTTGAGAAAGTCTGTTGTCTTTTGTTCAATAGTGTCAAACTTTCAACCACTTATTATTTATGATGTACCACAACCAATGCTGATAAGGTGAGAGGTGAGAAGGCAGAACACTAATGCTAGACTTAGGTGTCTTGTGAGGACAAGGCATTGACTACTTTGGGTTGTTCTTGCGGATGTTTGCCCAGTAATTACCACTCCTCAGCTTCCCCTGAGACATCTCAGATTACAGAGCACAGGGAGGCGTCAGAGTCATGCCTTGACATGTTCACTAGGTCAGAACAGGGATCGTTTGCATACAAGGATGAATCACAATTTCAGACACATTCATTATATTTTCAGACACATTCATTATATTTTTGTCTACAGAAGCAATAAAAAATCGGTTTGTTTTGAATAGGGCTGTATTTAACCACAGGGTACAATGAGTGAGATTGTAGTTTCTGTGCAATATAGGCACAAAAAACATTATTATTACTCATATTTAGTGTTAGGGTTTGTTCAAATCCTTAGCCTTTAATATTCAGTTTTGCTGCAGAACTTGTCCTGCACCGTTTGTGCTACGTCACACAGATATTGTATTTATGCTTTTCCTTTTGAGGAACATTTAATCAATATTAAATCAACACTAAATACTGAATCGAAGTTGAAACGATGCTCAATCAACAGTTAAACAATGCTGATTCAGTGAATCAATGCAAATCAACATTAAACCCACACAGACTTTAAATGCTGAATCAACACTGAAATAGACATTAAATCAATAATTAACCCTAGAGCATTCAATTTGCATGTTAAAAAGCAGAAGAGATATACTTTTGTGCATGTTGAAGTGACATGTTAGGCCTGGAATCCAACAGGGCTGACTGACATAGCATCAATCTTTGAAATGCCACTTGGCCAATCAAATTTAAGGAACACTGTTTTATAATAAAGAATTACAGTGCATGTTCATAATTTACATTAGATTATCCAGTCTAAATATTTTGGATGAGTTCAACCTAAACTTTGATTTTACAACAACTGTTGATAGTTTTTATTTGAGTAGTGCCATAAATAATGCCTGCCACATAGTTTTTGTAACTTATAAAACATGATATTTTTCTAACACTTTAGCATAGGGACCCATTCTCACCATTAAGTGAGTTGCTTATTAGTATGCCTTTTATTAACATATTGGCTGTTTATTAGTGCTTATAAAGCACATATTCTACCCAATACCTAAACTTAACAACTACCTTACTAACTATTAATAACCAGCAAATTAGGAGTTTTTGAGGCAAAAGTCATAGTTCTGTCAGGACCACTATCGTCAGAATGATAGATACTTAGCATAAAGTTTGGTTTGGCGGTATGGTTCTGTTCTGGGCAAAAAACCTCCCTGCCCATCCATGCAGCCGGTCATGAATGAGCAGGGAGAGCAACAATAATAACCCCCCCCAACACAAACGATAGGCCCGGACCCCCCAACACAACGATAGGCCAGAACACGTGACCTGCCAGAACTAACGCTAAAGCTTAATTTTATGGTTTGTTAATAGCGAGAATTGGACCTTAACAAAGTGTGAACAAAATGTTCTACAAATGAATTTATGGAAAAAACTGATGAAGATTAGTAGGCCAACCCAGAACTGCTTTGCTGGAAAATATGTGCCAGGTCTTAACCTTGTGACTTCCTTGTGTGCATATTTTCGAGCAGCTTTGATGCCTAATTTATGGTTAAAATTACTTTTTATTATAAAAAATTACCTGTGTGACAAAGAAAATTATTCATAAGCGGTTGAGGGTTTGAACTTTTCTGTCTGAAGAATCTATTTATTGTCTTGTTTTCTAGTAGCCTACACATAACTAAAAATCCTTAAAATATCAAGACTTGTTTTCACAGCATAGGTCTAAAATTAAGTCTATTTTCTTAGTAATCACAAAGTGAATGGCCGCCTCGCTCAGCTGGGAATTGAACTGGGGACCATCTTGCTATGAGGCACTTAAAATGTTTCATTTGTAAAAATGTTTCATTCATTTAAAATGTTTTTAGATTTAACCTTGATACATTTTAACAAAACAAATGTGTTTTTTTCTCGAGTGTTCCACCAAATAAAAATTCCTCGTAATGAGTTGGAAACCACTTTGTCAGCTGCCCATATTTCAAAGCACCGCAAAACAGAACCCCATGTCTACTTCTACCATGATGCCCTGCCTGTCTGTTTCCGACAGACTGCTGTGACCGAAAAAAAAATCTAGCCTCCTTTAGCAGGGTGGGTCATGACTGGCTGGATTGAGCTTGTCAGGTCTTGTTCCAGAACAAATGACTTCAAATGCAGAGTGACCTGCAAGGAAAAATACACGATCATGCTAAGATACACAGTCACGCTAGCACACCCACAACGAAAAAGGACAGTACAATCCTTCTATGTTGTGACGAGTACTTTAAAAGGATAAAGTGTACTTTATCAGTTGTTGTGAGTCATATTTTGACAGGGTTCTGAGAAAAAAAAATCAGATTTTTTTTTTTCGAAGGATACATACAGTATATATATACACACACACACACACACACAATTACCTAAACTTCAACAAAAAATAAAATGGAAAATATAAAAATTATTCAAATGAATAAAAACGAATAATATCTTAATGATAGTAAAATAACACTGGTCTGTCATATATAAAATAAAAGCATGCAATTTGATTATCTATTTTTGCAATAGAGGCCTATTCAGGGTCGATGT